TTTCCATCTTCTTGTATCCTCTCTAATTTCTCTCAGGAGTGGTTTGTAGTTCTCATTATAGAGATTTTTCACATCTTTGGTTAGCTAAATTTCTAGGTATTTTATTTTTTTGGTGGCTATTGTAAATGGGCAGGCTTTCTTGATTTCTCTTTCTGCATGTTCACTATTGGAGAATAGAAATACTACTGATTTTTGTGTGTTGATTTTGTATCCTGCTACTGTGCTGAAATCATTTATCACCTCCAAGAGTTTTTTTGTAGAGGCTTTAGGCTAAAAACTCACTTTTAAAGAACCCACAAAAGTCACAAAGTAAATTAGAAAATATTTTGAACTGAATAATAATGAAAATTGATAAATTAGACTACATCAAAATTGAAAACTACTGCTCTTTGAAAACACTATTACCAGGGCCGGCCCGGTGGCGCACTGCTACAGTGCGCCGCTTCGGAGCGCGGCAGCGCTCCTGCCGAGGGTTTGGATCCCACATGCAGACCGGCTGCTCACTGGCTGAGCGAGGTGCGGGCGCGACACTGAGGGTTGCGATCCCGTTGCCGGTCACGAAGAAAGACAAAAAGGAAAAAAAAAAAAAAAGAAAACACTATTACCAAAATGAAAATGTTTTCAAACACAAATCTTATAAAGAACTGATATGTAAAATACATAAAGAACTCTCAAAGCTCAAAAATAAAAAAATCAATAGCTCAAGTTTTGAAAAATGGGCAAAAATAATGAAACTGACACCTCATCAAACAAGATATATGACTATCAAATAAGCACATGAAAACATGATCAAAAGCATTCATCATTAGGAAAATTCAAATTAAAACCAAACTTAAATGCCACTTCACACTTTGTAGAATGGCTAAAATTTAAAACAGTAACAATATCAAGTATTGGCAAGGATGTGGAGCAGCTGGAACTCTCATACATGGCTGGTGGTTTTTTATATATATGGTGAAATTGCGTGTGTGTGTGTGTGTGTGTGTGTGTGTGTGTGTGTGTGTGTGTAAGGAGACTTCAGAAGGTTTGTGGAAAAATGGAATTAAAAGATAAAAATAAAAAAATATAAACCTTATTTCTCAATATAAGCTACATCAAGACCAAAACACTTTTCTAAGTTATGATATCAGCCATTTAGTCCATCCCAAAAGAACAGGGGGTCCTGGGAATTTAACCATGTTAATACAGTCTTTTTTACATTATTAACTTAAGAAAAGAGGTTCCCTTTAAAGATTTTTTAACATTAGGAAACAAAAGGAAGAAAGAAAGAGCCAAATCAGGACTGTAAGGTGGATGCCTAATGATGTCACATTGAAGCTTTCTCAAAATTGCTCTTTGATGAAAGGAATGAGCAGGCGCATTGGTGTGGTGGAGAAGGATTTTGTTTGGTGAAGCTTTCCTGGGCATTTTTCTGCTAAAGCTTTTGCTAACTTTCTCCAAGCACTCTCATAATAAGCAGATGTTATTGTTCTTCGGCCCTCCAGAAAGTCAACAAGCAAAATTCCCTGAGCACCCAAAAAACTGTTGCTATGACCTTTGCTCTTGACCAGTCTACCATTGCTTTGACTGGACCACCTCCACCTCTTGGTAGCCATGACTTTGATTGTGCTCTGTCTTCAGGATTGTAGCTGGTAAAGCCATGTTTCATCTTCTGTTACAATTCTTCAAAGAAATGCTTCAAGATCTTGATCCCACTTACTTAAAATTTCCATTGAAAACTCTGCTCTTGTCTGCAGCTGATGTGGGTGCCACAGTCTTGACACCCATCAAGTAGAAAGTTTGCTCCTCTGTAATTTTTCAGTCAGAGTCGTGTAAGCTGAACCAACGGAGGTGTCTGTGGTGTTGGCTGATGTTTCTGCTGTTAGTCATCGGTTCTCTTCAATTAGGGCACAAACAAGAGTAGTCTTCTCCTTGCAAATTGATGTGGATGGTCTGCCGCTGTGGGCTGCATCTCCAACATTATCTTGTCCCTTCTTAAAATGAGTTATCCATTTGTGAACTGCTGATTTCTTTGAGACATTGTCCCCATAAGCTTTGGTAAAGTTTTTTTTTTTTTTTTTTTTTTGTCTTTTGTCTTTTTTTCCGTGTCCGGCAACAGATCGCAACCCTCAGTGTTGCCCCCGTACCGGACCAGGGACTGGCAACGGGATTGCAAACCTCGGTGTTGCTCCCACGCCTCGCTCAGCCAGTGAGCGGGAGCCGGTCCGTATGTGGGATCCGAACCCTCGGGCGGGAGCGCTGCCGCACTTCCCAAGCGGCGCACTATCCAGTGCACCACCGGGCCAGCCCAGCTTTGGTAAAGTATTAATGATTTCACCATTCTTCCACCCCAGCTTCACCATAAATATAATGTTTGTTCTTACTTCAATTTCAGCAGAATTCATGTTGCTCTGATAAGGGCTCTTTTCAAATTGAGGTCTTATGCTTCTTAGTGCCTCAATCTAGATCCTATTCAAACATGTTATAACGAATTAGTATGATTTTATTTGCTGCAAAAAAATGTTGAAATCCATGAATAGTTTTTTCATAATACATATTTTCCATGAACTTTTTGAAGACCCCTTGTGTGTGTGTGTGTGTGTGTATGTGTGTGTGTGGTGATTCCATGGAAATATTTTCATTTCATCTTTCCAAAAATAAGCTAATCCAGAAATAGACAGTAAAAAAAAAAAATCTAAGTTGGCAATGTACACCTAAAAAATATACTTGCTTTCTTTATTTAATTTTCTACTGGTCTGATAGTTTTTAAACCAACTAAATTGCTGGGTAACTAACAAGACTTAAAAAGACACTTAAAAAACCAGTACATTATTGAAAACAATCTAACCCAATAAGCAGCTTCAGAGAACTTTCCACTGAAGTTGTGGAATTCGTTTGTCTGAAATGAAGAGGCACAAATTCCAGCACCTAGTCTGGTCTGCCTCACCTCAACGTCTTAAGGTCCTTCCACTCCAAGGCTCTGGATCTGCCTAGGGGAGAACGAGGCAGTGACAACCAACTTCTGCTTTGTCTCTATGGAACCGGAAGCCCTTGGTATCACCACCTCCTGGAGCAGACGCAGGACCAGGCAAGACCAAGGTCAAGCTCTTTCTGCTCCATACCTGTTGTTCTCACACATCACACGGGAATTTGTCAACAGTTTTTGTGATTATTAGTAGGATATATAAGCCACAAATGATTCTGTTACAGATTTAAGACCAGCTACTTGGTAGAAAATGACAACTAATGAGTCTCCCCAGAAAGAGGAATTACGAAAAGGTTCCCTTCCACTTAATCACTCTCCAGGTCCCTCAGGCTATCCAACATTAATGACTAAAGAACATGACCACTCAAAAGTGAAAGGGCACAATAAAATCAAAGTACAAATGGCTTCTGAGGACAGATGCTAAGACACAGGTGTTAAAGCTTCTATGACAGACCTTGACAGACAATCAACTAACAAACGGAGGAGCTGTTTGGGTGGGAAATCGGTCATATCACACTGAGAGAAAAAACAAAAAGTGAGAAACGCAGATGGATTCCATCGTGGACAGGTAGGACGCATACACGATGTGAGCATGGCTCCCACCCACAGTCAGCCTCTTCATCCCCCAGGAAAGCACTTAACTCAGGGAACAGCACATCCCATGGTTTACAGGAAAAATTAGTTTTTGCTCAAATTAAGAACTTTATAGGAACCTAATGACGTGGCTGGGACCAGTCAAGTCAAAGATGTTGATAGCCTTTAAAATTTAATGAAACTATTACGGAAAGCAACTTTAAAGGAGTGAACAATTTCTTGGGCAAAATGGTACGAGGTCCACACCTACCGCTGGTCACTGCCCCTCAAGTCACAGTCTTTTAACCTAACCTTGTTGTCACGGCCGGACTCCCTTTCTCCTGAGGTTATGTCTATAAATCTGGGCGTCCAGTCTGCTTTTGTTCCACATGTCAGCTATTAGCAATGGTATTTTTCCTGACAGCTAATTGGTTACATTAAAGAAATAAAAAAGCATTGGGCTTGCAAAGTCACCTTACACCATGAACTGCAACAAGTATTCAAAGGGGCAAAGCACTGCCTGGAAATCAAAGAGACATGCTTTTCTCCCTGTTCACCAATAGGACAAAAAACGTGGTGAAAACGAAATCCATACGTTGGGTTATTTACACCACAGCTTAATGAGTGATACTTCCTGTGCCAGAAGATTCTCTCCATGTAATGCTTGTGCTAAGGGAGCCCTCGGAGTCAGGCAGACATCTAGGGCTCCTCCCTGCCCCGCCCATTGCCTGAGCCTGAAATGGCAGTGGCCCTGAGCTGCCGCGTGTCCCTCACCTTTCATTTTGGTTGTGTAAAATCCAACGGCTGCCCCGTGTCTCCACAGAATTTTAGCTTGCTCCTCCGCAGAGTGAGGTAGAAAAAACATGGCATCATCATCCAAATTTCTCTCCGATCTTCCAAAAATAACGACGTTTAGAATGAAAAGCACAATCCTTTCCCCAAATGACTGAACCTTGGAAGGAAAAATAAATAAATAAAGATAACAACAAGCAAGGGAGACCAGAGAGGAGACTCAGATGCAACAAGTCTGGGGCTTGGAGCCGGTCCCCACGTCAGGGACAGGGGCACGCTCCACGGCCACAGGAGTCTTTCATGCTCAAGGGCCAAAATGTGAATCACCGCACCTCACAGGTTTTCAGACCACTCGCCTTTCCCACCAGTGCAGCCTCCAGGAGCGAGGAACAAGGCCAGAGGGGGCCTGTGAGTCCCCTGGGCTGCCATACAATGTAAGTCGGCAGAACACATGCTAAATCACACACTGAAGAAACAGGAAGTCACCTAGAGGGGTCCAGGGTAACCCACTTCAGCAAATTTGCTGGATGTGTCCTGAAATAAACCCAATCTGCCATTTTTAACAACAGCAGGCTCTAGGCCCAGAATTCTGGCCCTAAGAAGGAGGGTAAATAATCGGGGAGACCAATTGCTGCACCAAAAGCAGCCAACATTCAATGGCTTGTGACAGATTTTGACTACATGCCAGAGTCCCAGTCCTAGAGAATTACTGGGACTCAAGGCCCACTCCATTTTAAGGCTGTAAAGTGAAACCATCTCTTGCCCATAGCAAAGTCCTCACAAGTGAGGAAAGTATATTGTGGTTGGGCCCACACTGAGTTAGAAACTTCATCCTTCCCAAGTCAGCACGACTTCATGCTCCTGCCTGTTAAAATTCTCTGCATTTGTGGAGCCCAAGGATGGCAAACATGTGGCTGAGATCAAGGCCTCCCTCCTCTGCATAGCAGACAGAGCTATCTGGCTACGGCTGGACACAGTCTCAGCTCCTAAATGCAGCTCTCCAGACAGCCACAAGCAACTGCTACAATGTGGCCCATGACATGAAACCCATCAGCTATTTATGAAGTGACAGTATTGTATTATTGAATTTTACTCTGGCAACACTGCTACATCACAGCACACACGCGTGCGTGTGTGTGTGTCCCCCTCACCACCAGATCAACAACATTATTAACTCCCACCCACCACTACCATTTGATTCTCATCCCCTGCCAGGGAGGTCCTGGCTTATTGGTGAGGAAATTGAAGCTCAGAGGTAAGTGATTACATTTATTGATTTCCCTGCCTCATTCCAAAGAGGGCTTGAGACAGCTGGGCAAGGGCTTGGTCTAAGGCAGGCTCGAAACAACAGGCTGGGGCTTCCAAGTCCAGCCAGCGGTTCCTCTGCATCTCCATCTAGAACTGAGACTCTAGGAAAGGGGAACTTTAATACAAATACTAATGTTTGGTTCTATATTTAATACTTAACCCTTAAATTATCATCATCGTTATCATGTGTAGTGTGGGTTCTCACATTGGATTTGCTGGGAGATCTTCAGCAACTCACAACCTCTTAGAGCTTCGGTTTCCTCTGCTGATCAAGGGAGATCACGTACGTGGTCTCTAAAACAGTTAAATGCTTTTCAGATGCTCTAGTAATAAAAATAAGGCAGCTTACTGCAAATGGCACAAAGTGTTCACTACCAATAAACTTGTTCATTGGCCCAGAATACAAAGTACTTCACCTTTATCTGGAGTTAAATCTTAGATGAGAAAAAGACCTATGAAAATCACACCAGCTCAGCTCAGAGGAGCCACCACCTTTTGTATCTCAGACAGTGGCAGCCGGATCAAGTCCAGATTTTAAGAACAACTAGCTAGTAACAAAACCTGATCGGTGTAACATAGGAGGTTGCATTTGTCAACTTATAAAACCAAAAAGTTCAGGGGAAAGCCAGAAGAGAAAAGTGGGTTGCATCTGGCAGCAGGGAAATATCCAATAAAAGCTGGCAGGAGAAAAAGGAAAGAAAGAAAATGCACTTAATTTGTCCAATTTCATTACAGGGGAAAAAAATGTGTGACAAGCGATTTTGACTTAGAAATATTTCTGAAAACACAAAACTAAGATCCAGTTCTAATCCCTCATCGGGACCACTAATTATGTTAACAGAAAGAGCATTAAGAAAGCTTTTTTTGGTAATTTATGAAGAACAGCTGGATAAGGAACAAAACGTAATTAAAACAAAGGGGGGAAAAAAAGTTAATACCTAAAGATCTACAAACAGAGAAGGAAAATATCCCCACATACTGCTGGGGTTACGATAGATCTTTACAACATGGCCCATTAAGTGGAAATAATATCCAAGTTTCTTTCTATTCACAACATAGGCCACATTTTCAGAAGGTGTGAGGAGTTTCCTCATCTAAACTTAGAAGAGATGATAATGAAAGAAGTAACCACTCTTCTTCTGAAAAAATATTTAAAGAGCAAACCAGATTTTTCCCAGCATTCAGAATGACCAGTCACTAAACAGCCACCTGGCCCACCTGTGGCAAAGGAGCTGGGCAGCCACACACACACAGGTACACCAGGCACTGCACTGGGGACCTCACACTCATTTGCTGAATCTTAAGCTGTCACTCATTTGCTAGAAGAAAAACCTTTTCAAAGTAACATCTATCAAGTCAATTAAGTCAATTAAAAGCAGACCTAAAAAGACAACCCACAAAAGCAGAAAAAATATTTGCAAGTCACATATGTGATGAGGAACTTGAATCCAGAATGTATGAAAGACTCTCATAACTCAACAGTAAAAAGTCAAATAATCCAATTAAAAAGTGGGCCAAGGATCTTAATAGACATTTTCCAAAAGAGTACATACAAATGACCAAAAGGCACATGAAAAGAAGCTCACCATCCTTAGCTATCAGGGAAATGCAAATCAAAACCACAATGTGACACCATTTCACATCCACTAGGATGGATAACATCAGAAAGACAGACAATAACAAGTGTTGGCAAGGGTATGGAGAGATTTAAACCCTCAGACGCAGCTGGCGAGAATGTAAAATGGTGCAGCTGCTGTGGAAGAGTGTGGCAGTTCCTCAAAATATCAAATACAGAGTCACTATATGACCAACAATTCTACCCCTAGGTGTATACTCAAGGGAATTGGAAATAAATGTCCTCACAGGGCCGGCCCGGGTGGCGCACTGGATAGTGCGCCGCTTGGGAAGCGTGGCGGCGCTCCCATCCGAGGGTTCGGATCCCACATACGGGCCGGCTCCCGCTCACTGGCTGAGCGAGGCACGGGAGCAACGCCGAGGCTTGTGATCCCGTTGCCGGTCCCCGGTCCGGTACGGGGGCAACACTGAGGGTTGCGATCCGTTGCTGGACACGGAAAAAAGACAAAAAGACAAAAAAAAAAAAACTTGTACACAGTTGCTCGAACAAGTATTATCATAATAGCCAAAGAGTGGAAACAACTCAAATATCCATCAAGAAAATGTGATATATCCATACAATAGGCTATTATTCAGCCAAAAAACAAAGGAATGAAGTATTGATATAAGTACATGTTACAACAGGGACAAACCCTGAAAAAAATAATGCTAAGTTAAAGAGACTAGTCACACAACAACAAAAAAAAAAAAGAGACTAGTCACAAAAGGCCACATGTCATATGATTCCTTAAATGTCCAGAATAGGCAAATCCATAGAGACAGAAAGTAGATTAGTGGGTGCCAGGGGCTGCAGAAAGAGGTTCAGGTTTTCTTTGTGGAGTGGCGAAAATGTTCCGGAATTAATGGTGATCCACATACAACTTTGTGAGTATAATAAAAATCACTGAATTTTACAATTTAAAAGAGTGAAATTTATGGTGTGTGAACTACATCTTGATGAAGCTGTTGTTAAAAAAAAAAAAAAAACAATGCAGAGTTTAATTTTTTTAATTGTTTAGCAGAAAAAAACTTGGATTATCAACTTATTATCCAAACTGAACCCGAAAAACTACTGATATTTCAGTCAGTATTTGTAGGATCCCATGAAGGGGACCTAGTGGCATTCTGAACAACTGTGTACAGACCTACCATTTCAAGACTGCAAAGAAGCACCATTCTTCTTCCTACCTATGGAATTAAGATAAATATACCAATCAAAGAAAAATGGGCACATGCTCTATGTGAAGCATAGGGTCCCAACTCTAGGCTGATTACCACCTTCCTTCTTAACCTCTGCTCCAGCCAAAGTGCAGCCCAGAGGACTCTGCCTAAGCCTCGGAGAAGCTGCTGTGGCACCTGCCTTCACCCTCGCCATCCAAGGTCTCTGCTTTACAACTGCCCTACAAAGCTTCAAAGCACTTCAAAGACCACCAGGCCTGTCGTCAGAGAGACCAAAGTCTGTATCTAGTTAAATCGCTTACTAGCTGTGTGACTCAACCTCAGTGTCTAAATCTGCAAAACAAATACCTTGAAGGTTCTGAAATTAGATAATCCCTATAAAAAGTCTAAGGTAACGTACAGGATAGTACCTGCTGCAATTCTGACTCACAATAAGGCTAGTAAGCATTGCCTGAACACACTGAGCAGAACTTTCCCACACAATGGAGAGCAGGTATGGATTAGTTTTAAAACAAAAACGTGAGAGGCCACTCAAGAAGGTGAGACAGATTTGCCAATAGCCAGATATCTGTCCAATAGAGCCACTTGTTACTGTTTTCCTTGGTAGCAGGGTATTGTGGATTGAATTGTGTCCTCCAAAAAGATACTGAAGTCCTAACCCTCTAACCCCCAGTACGTGGGAATGTGACTTTATTTGGAAGTAGGGTCTTTGCAATGATCAAGTCAAGATGAGGACATTAGAGTGGTCTCTAATCCAGTATGACTAGTTTCCTTACAAAAAAAGAACTTCAACAGAGATAGACATGCATAGAGAGAAAACAGAGGTGAAGACACAGGGAGAACACCATCTGCAAGCCAAGGAGCCCCCGAGGCTACCAGAAGCTGGGAGAGGGCTGGAACAGATACTCCCTCACAACCACAAAGAAAGCAGCCCTGCTGACTCCTTGATTGCCAACTTCCAGCCAACAGACAATAATACATTTCTGTCATTTAAGCCACCCAGTGTGTGGGACTTTGTTACAGGGAGCCCTAGGAAACGAATACACCGGGATAGATTGC